GGAGGGAGATGAGAGAGGGCGATGCGGGGGCAGATACAGTGAGAGAAACTGTTGGAAAGAAATGGAGAGAAAGTAGAGTGGGGAAAAGACGAAGAGAGAGAAAGCAAGTGACAGACAAAGCTAGAGAGGAAGGCAGCGAGAGGAAAAAGAGAGGGAGTGAAGGGAGGAAGGATAGGAAGGGAAAGTGAAGAGAGAAAATGTAAAAGAGAGAACCCTCCAGCTTGCCCATCCCTCTGCTTGGACCAGACCAATCCGAGGCTGACCTCACTTGACCTATCCATAGACGTCTGTGCTTGGTGGGATTGCATGATTTTCAGCGTACGGGCACGCAAACAGTCCACAGAGCCGTGGTAACGTGGCACATACAGGACTTGAGTGAAGCTGTCGTTTTCTGGTGCTGGACCCTGCAGGTTACCTGGCCTTACGTCAGCTGTGTCCCTGCTCTATCACTTGATCAACTGCTCACAACCTATGAGCGCCACTTACCATCACTGACACTGTGAAGCACATCAAGAATCACATCATCAATACGATATGTTGGACAGATTAAAATAAAACAGAGTAGATTCTAACCAGACAAACTTCAGACAGTGAACCTAAAGTCTTATATGTAAAACGTTGATGTGAATACTGTATGGCACCTTTCAATGACAACTGAATTTGTTCCTGTCTATATTAAAACTGGACTCTCTCACTAAGAATTGGCTAAGTTTTGCTGTTCGGTCATTCACCTCAGAGTCACCAAGTCAAAAGTTTGGCGAGGTTACGGCAGAGGACTGGAGTTCGTACTTCTCTCCATAACCGTGCCTTCCTGATATTTTTTTTTTTTTTACTAAAAGTCACCAAACTTAGACTTCTGGAAATCCTAACTGTTGGAGTGTTAACAAGGCAGCAGCTAGGTCCCAGTTGAGTGTAATTTTTTTTTTCTTTTTTTTAGAAAATTGTTGTAGATTTTCTAACAAATTAAAGCCTCTTTAAGTGAAATAATAAGAAAGCAAATAATAAAAATGTATGATTAAAATTACTGTGTGTGCATTATGTTTTAAAGTCAGAGATTTTGCAATAAATACATATTAAATAAACTTTATTTACAAACAGGTGATAAATTCTCAAGCGCCTTCGTAAGGTATTACCACCACGTGCACAGTTATTTCTCTAAAACGCTACTGGAGGGACAAACATGATTCTTCTAAATAAATTCCCTCATGTGGTGTTTTGATGACAGTGACACAGGGTGTTGTTTAACATCGGCCCGCAATCACCCATAGGTGTTCGGCTAGATTGAGATCTGGTGACTGTTACAGCCATGGAGTACTACTTAGAGTCAGTGACCCCTATGTTTCATCATAGGATAAAGGTGATCACTCAGAACAACTTTGTGTTGATTTGCAGTGTCTCTTCCCTCTAAAAGAACAGGCAGACCGAAATCATTTCTACAAATGCCCCCACAGCATAACAGAGTCCTTTAATTTGTTCCCTGTCTGTATATCACCCCGTGTGCACGAAATGTTGCATTAAAAAAAAAAAGCACAATGACTTAACAGTTCTTGAGTCGGATACTTCCAGTCAGCTAGTGCTTGATCATCGTCTACTCTGATCAGCAGCCAGGTACACAGTGATTGTGCTGACGGTCTTCAAGGTGTGAACATCAGAGATGACAACATGTGTGTTGTCATTAAAGATAAGTAAACAATGTATATGAGGACAGAAAATGATTCTATGTGGAGTTTGTATGTTCTTCTGGTGTCTGTATGCTCCATGCTGCATCTGTCTGTGATGTACTGCTAATGATGGAGTTTAAACAACTGTAAAACTCTAAAACTTGTCTTTTTTTTTCTGGTAAAATGATTCTGTGGGCTGAGTGTGACTCTAACTCACTGTTAGATGTGTGACTTCCAGCCATGGCACTGTGACACTCTCCAGAATGATAATTCAGCCTTCAGACCTATCAACATACACACTCTCACACACACACCACCGCCTGCAGGTTTGCATTCATCACATCCCAGCACTTCTCTATTGAATGGAATATTGTGGGTAAATATTTGTCTATCTATTACGTGACCATATAGCTTTAACTCTCTCCATCCTCTCACACCTTGCATACCCATTTTCTGTGCACATTTCTAGCAACTAATAACAGGTGAAGCAAAGGGGACACATCTGTAAATGTACATCTGTGCATTTACACGTTTTAATCATTCCTAGTGTTAAAGACTATCATATAGTTTATTAGCTACATCGCACTGCAATTATCCAGTTTCACACATTTCTTTTTATTATCTGTGATGTTAGGCAACACTTTGTATGGGCTTATTCTGCTCTTATGGACTTCAGTTCAATTTAAACAGCATGTAAACACCGTGCTAACTGTGTCTGCACTGGAGGCTCTTCCAACTGGGCCAGTCTATACATACCATGGCAGCTGCATGTCCAAGCGTTCCAGCAGGCAGCGTATTGGCACCCGTAGTGGTGCTGACGCTGTTAGGGTGGCGTATGCGGACAGCTGGCCCAGCCACGATGGCAGGAGGGGTGCCGCCGGGTGCCGGTTTGACTCCCTGCTGTGGGGGCTGGGTCAGGGACTGCTGACTATTCAGCAAAGACAGCCTCAGGGCCGGGAGGCTCTTCTGTTGACGGGCATACGGAGGTCAGAGTTTACAGCCACACAGCGAAACAGACATGCATGACAAAACATAATACACAGCTGCAACAACAAATACTGCTGTGGTCACTGGCTAATTTAGCATGATGTTATCATAGAAATAAGGCTACAGGCTGCTTTAAAAAAAGATTTGCAGAGACATGTGACCATACCTGCTTCCCACAATAGCTCATTTGTTTTTGTACGTTTAAAAAAACATTTACTTCTACACTAAAATTTGTTTGCAGGACAATGAACCTACAGTATGTTTAATACTGTATATGGCATTACCATCAGCCATTTATGATAACCCACTGTCACAGCCGACCTGAGGAGCTGATGCTGTTTCATACAGACTATTTCAGGCAGATTTTTGACGTAAGCGACCTAACATTGCATGACAACATGTGTTTGTGGCCGGGTTGGGCGGTCGAGCGCCTTGATGTGACGCTCATCACGGCTGGCTGAAGAAACCTGCTGGCTACTGGCAGGGACAGCTGCAGGGGCCACTGTCACACACAGTCAGAAGTCAGGCCAGAGGGAGGCGTGTGTGTGTGTGTGTGTGTGTTTGTATCATTCTACTGTCGGGCCCAGCCATCACTGGTTCTAGTGCGAGTGAAAGGACTACTTTAGGGGGGTCAGTTTAGGGAAAAGGCACGAGAGGGGAAGCTTAAGGATCCAGGTTAGGGAACGATTTAAGCGGCAGGTTATGGAGCAGTTCAGGAAACTATTTTAGGGGTCAATTTCAAAAGTAGCCAAGGGGCGCAGTAAGCTGACAATGTAGGACCAGAGTTTAGAGGACTGCCTTCTGAGGGAGGTGTGGGATTCACTGTTTTGGTGCTGGTTTTAAGGATTTATATATAAGTTTGGTAGAAGCTCAGCCAGTAGGAATCCAGCTAAGTGAAATATTGTTTTAATCAGTGTAGGAAGCAGTCTTACAGAAAAAAGTTCAAAAGCATCAACCCCACCTTGAGAAAGGGCACCAGGTAAGGCTGCGGAGACGACTTGAGCTCAGTCTGCAGCCGGCTGGTGAACTCCTCTGGTTCAATCTTGGCATCCTGTTGGGTTAAGAGGACAGAATTAACCTCACTTTACAAGAGAGACCAGACAGTATGTTAAGAGCACCTCGGTGACTTCAACACAAAAAGAAAAAAATCCCATCACTGGAGGTGATGATCAACCACTCGACTCATGTGCTGGCACCCGAGGGGGCAACTCAGTGTGTAACTGTGTATAATCCTAAAATTCATGACAGGGAACGGAGAGTTTTGGAAGGAGTTTCATGCTGCCATCTAAAGGTGGGAAATATTCAATACAGCAACACATTCAAGTGCCAATGTTGCACTTCTCCTACGTATACAGGATTTCACAGTGCAAAAAAAGTGAACTCACACTTGTCATGTCATCGTGTCATTGCAGTCGATCAGATGCAAAAGAAATATCGCCCTATAAAACTCTCACTACAGGAAAAAAGCATCTGTCAGGGCCATGGCAGCTTTTGTAAATAAAAGATTTTTCCAAAAACTATCCTAGTCACACAAACTTCTATGATGTCGACGGGATGTGAACAGTGTTTATTTGTTGGCTTTTGAAACTCACCAGCAGGTCCTGAACCAAAGCCTTGACGTTCTTTGAAGTCTCAGGGGACGGAGAATTGTGAGATGCTAACTTGATAAGTGTGGCCAGGAAATTCTTACACTTCTTCACATTCTCTTGCATTTCCTGGAGAAGATAAGAAAACACAAATTTACTTTCTATTTAAAAATCACTTTAAAAAAAAAAAAAAAAAAAAGGAGATTCAGCTAGTGCCAACTGTTTTAGTGTCAGTAGCCTCAAAAAAGTAGTAGATGAAACTCTGAGAAGCGGCCTTGTATTTGCGCTGCATTTCCATAATAACTGCTTTACAAAGAATGAAGCTGTTTGGACTGATAAAGGAGCTGACAAGCATCAGTCACAAATCAGTGCATAGTGAACATTTAGCCTGTTGCCCAGTCATCGTTGCAGCCAAATGAGACATGGCACCTGTCCACTAAAACTGCCTTAGAGTGGACTGGTGCCCAAATTGCTTCCATGTGGGCTCTCCAGGCTCAGTATGTAGAAACATTAGCATCTATGTACTCATGTAAATGTGTCTACGAGGGCATTATATGTAAGTCAGCCTGCATCTGTCTGTGACTGCATACGTTCCTGTAAGTACATACACATGGAGAGTCTGTGCCTTTATGTCTGTATGTCCTTGGGTTGGTATACACTCTTGTGAATGTATGAGCGCGAACGTGTGTGGGCATGTGTGAGACTCTTTGTCCATGGCCAGCTGTGTGACGCGGTGAGGCTGTGGGTCCGGGGCTGAGCTTGTGACACAGCCAGCCTCCTGGCAGCTGTGACAGTGCCTGCGCCCTTCAGGGTGGAGTGTGGGCGGCGGTGGTGGTGGTGATGTAGGGGGGAGGCAGAGGGAACGGACCTGGGACACGACAGGAGCTCCGGGGGCCGCGGCGATGCCCGTCTGCTGAGGCTGCACTGGCTGGGAGGCGGCCTGGGCCGGGGCCTGGGGGGCCATAACCACGGGGGTCTGCTGCGGAGCCGTCACAGCCACGGCCGGCGCCACAGGGCCCTTCTGGAAGAGCAAGGAAGAGACAGAGAGATAAACAGGACGTGACGCCTCGCTCGCAGCAAGGCCACAGAGAACAGGAGGCAGGCGCCACAGCGCTCCTGTCACATCTGGTCTACTGACTTCCGTGGACATCGCTTAACAGACAAGGAGGAGGAAGGGGAGGCGGCGACGAGCTACAGGCTGAAAAATACAGGAGGCCATCAAGGCTTTTCTTAATAGTCCCTATTCTCCTGAGAAGATGTGTCATAGACAGTTCCAGATATCTGCTACCTGTTGTCTGCTCTCTCAAAACAGCGTGTAGGGGTGAATGACGAGAAACTGTACAAACACACATTTTGCTCATCAGATGCAGTGCCGTCGGCAGTCTCTCACTCTAAAGCCCTCATCACCTCTTTTGAAACTCTCAGGGCCTGTTCACACTTGGCAATAAAATACATCTTACGTGATGCAATCATAAGTGGACAGTTCTAAATACAGGTGTGAATGCACCCAGAATGGAGGGGACACATTAAGGTCTCATGGCTCGAGTCCCATATAGACGCTGGCAAGGCCACAAGTACACCAGCATATGTGATGCAGGCATATAGTGCTGTAGTGCATAAATGTGCTCAGTCTTCTGTATGTTTTCAGTAAAATTCAAATAAAATCTCTCCTCTCAAAGATCTCAACGAAATCTGGATGCAACATATCTAGAGAGGAAGCACTGGATCTGGATCAGAGCCTCCAGTGCTTTAGTTCCCTAGAAATTGGAAAGTTCAACTTGAAATATTATCTCCCTCAGTGCCAGTGTTCAGTACACGATGTGATGATGTGTAGTCAGGGCAGCAATACCTGGCAGCTATACTTTTAGTTGGTGGAAATCAGTTATTATTCCTGTTTTTCTCTGCAAACAACTCGCTTGCAAGATGATGTTTAAAAATACATGGTTTAAAACATTCTGTCGAGAGGAAAAGTTACTCAGTGCTTCACTTGTAACTTTCTAAATGTTGAAGTTGTGATTGCTGCTTTATGTGTTAGTGGGAAGATGTGACAGGCAAATACAAAAAAATAATATCTTACAGAATCTTACAGAAATTATGCAACAACTGCTGCTACAAACAAATGTTTAACATAATTGATTATATCACGTATGTGCAAAGACACATTTCCATCATGTAGAATACATTTTCACAAAAGAAAGGTCCATTTTTCTCTACTGAAACAGCAAAAACTGACAGTTTCAGAAATGCTTTAGCCACATCTTAAAACACAACCTCACTCATTATAGCCCCACTAAGGGTCTCCAAGCTGGTTCACTACCTACAGCGTAACCTTTAGACCGCTAAACCGTAGCACTGTTTCTTGACATCAGCTGTCAGGGAGGCTAAGGGAGGAAAATGTAAGACAAAAGACTGAAAATCAGGCAAGTTAGGAGGGTTGTCTCACAGGGCGGAGTGCAGGGCAGGAGGAGGAAGAAGAAGAGGAGGAAGAAGAGGTCTGGAGGGCAGGGCTGGAGGAGGTGGGAGAGGGAGACGGTGCCATCTTGGCCGGGGTCAAAGGACACTGCCTGGTAGTTTGAGAGGTCACAGGAGACTGCTGGACAGAAAGAGAGAGCGAAGAAGGGAAAGAAGGAACAGGGGAAACAGAGAGCATAAAGGCATCAAAGAAAGCAGGTGGCGAACAGGGAGGACAAATGAATACACGCCACCTCGGAAGACACAAAGAAACAGCAGCAACAGTGAGACCGTGTCAGTTTCAGAGTTACAAGAAAGAGTGAAAAGGAAGAGGATGCGAGGTCGAGAAAAGGCTGGGACAGCGTGTGAGAGAGAGGGCAACGGGATAAGAAAAGAGCAGTGGCGTGCCTTGCAGACAGATAAGGAAAGGTCATGACAGCAGGAAAGAAGAAGGAAGGTGGCAGCGTGTTGGTGGTGGTGAAGACTGAAGCACAAGAAAGCCTGTGTGGTCACGTAGCAGTGGGTTTAGGTGTCCAACTGCTGGGGTCTGACTGCAGGAGGGACCTACGATCAGGTATGTATGTCAGTGGACAGCGGCACAAGTTGTGTCATTTTGACTTTGGACACCAACACAATGGATTGGACATGAAGCACTGAATGACCATGTGACTGAAGACTTTGAGGTGTAATTGAAGGTGTTTGACAAAGGTATTGAATTACAGCCATTTTCAAAAGTAACACAATTATAAATATAGGGATTATTTTTAATATTTGAATGCAAATCCTTTGCAGTCACTAACTGCCGGATGTCTGGAACCCAAGAGACGTCACCAAATGCTGAGCTTCCTCCAATGAGATGCTCCTCCAGGTCTGCTGATTGTTTGGGGGTCTTTCTGCCCTCAGTTTTACCTTCACTAAGTGAAAAGTAGTTCAGCTGGGTAAAGGTCAGGTGAGTGGCTGCCATACATGCCCCAGCTCTAACACTGCCTCCATCCTCTTTGACATCCTTTGGATCATGAGTCCTTCTTCTCCTCCTATCACTCCCATGACAAGTTCATCTGGCATTATTTGCCCAAAGACTCTTGTTGCGGAACTGAGCAGGATGTTTATAGATGTTTTCTTGTAAATTATCATCTGGTTTTTCTGTTCCTGAGTGTTACCAGTGGTCTGCAGGTAAATTCTCTGTAATCAAATCAAATCAAATCAAGTTTATTGTCATTTTGCTGTACACACACAGTAGTACAGGCAAGATGAGAGTGTGTTTCTTCAGGATCCAATAACTTAAAGCAATTTAAATACAGAAGTCTTTGCACATCCGGACCAGCAGTTCAGTAGTATTTATATTCATGACGATATCTCTGGATTGGTGACAATTACACACCTACGGTACCTCCTTGAGAGTGTTCTTGACTTGTATAGATGGTGTAAATAATTCTCAGATCCCCCACTTCCGTGGTCTTTTGCGGTCTTCCAGGCCTTTTGGTGGTGCTAAGCTTGACAGCGCATTCTTTCTGTGTTGATTGTTGATGTCTGTAACCAATCAGAACTCCAGTGGGTGTGGTGCCCTGAAACTAGGGACGGAGGAATTGTTCTGGTCGAACATTGGCACACAAGGAGTTGAGAGCTGTCATTAAAATGGCTAATTCACAGGGGAAAAAAACTAGCAGAGTGACTTAGTGCACAATCCACATCTTGAAAAAAACATGTGTAGTAGGGTAGTAGCGCAGAAATCACAGCTGTTGTTATCTGTAGTAAAGCAGAGTTGGAAAACGGTAACATGTAGAAATCAGAAGTAGAGGTGAAGGCCAGGTAAAAATTTAACCTACATTTACTCAGTCAGAAGGCCTCTTCTAAAGTTACTGCAAACTCTCTTAAAGGTCTGTTTTGGTTTTTCAGCCTCCTTCACTTGCATCAACACCTCATCAAACAGTATATTAGGAGTTCCAATGAACTTCTAAATGCACATTTAACTCGTAGAATCAACTCCAGATGATTGATCTCTATAATCTGTAATGCAATAATGAGGAAACAGGCTACCAGTTGGCAGGAAGCTGCTTATCAGCGCGGACAGAAAGAGAACAGAGAGAGTGCAAAAAATTGTCCAATTCATTTTGAGCCTGTAAAAAATAGGTGTAATTCCTAAGCTGCAATATTGTTGTTAAAGCCCTTGAAATAAAGCTGAAAGTCTCCACTCTAATCACATCTTAATTGCTTCATTACAATCCATTGTGGTGGTACAGAAGCAAATAATGGAAACTGTGCCTACGTGCAAATACTTGCGGACACGACTGTATGTTTTCACACACCGGCAGCGCTGCTGACACTTTGGGGGAATTCTGTTTCTTATTTCTCTAAATGCAAGAAGTGCGGAATTGGAGAAGAAAGTACAAAAAATATATTGTAAATTGCTTAACTTTTTGGCTTTTCAAAATACGATTCTAGTAAGATTTACCATGAAAGTGTCATTTTCTATATGCTCTCAAATGACCAACTTTTAACAGACAGAAAATGTTAATTTACCGTCTGCAGGTTATGACCAAGTCTTCCTTTGTAATAACCTTTAATTTAATTTCTTATATTCAACTTATTTATAGAATTTGCAAGCTTTACTATGAAATACAGACATTCAATGCCTAATTTGTAGATATTTATTAACACTGTTGTTTATTGGAACTCTGTTTTCCTGCGAGAAATTAGCTTACCTAACTGGCATTTGTTTTAATGAAAACAACAGACACCATAATAATTGGTATGACTAATGCAACTAATAAAGAAATTAGCATAACAACACGCCATCTGCAAGGACCCAATTCCATCTAGAAATATGACTGTGTACTCCTGTCTCTCCCTGATGCTGTCGAGGATGAAAAACTTGACTTTGATGTCGCAGCAAAAGGGAAACATGTGAAGATGAAGTCTGTTAATTACAGTAAATTACCAGAATCTGATTTATACATCTCAACTAAGGGCATAAACTCCCTAATTTAGTCTTTAACCAGCTACAAATCTGTGTCTACAGTCCTTTACAGACATGGAGGCAAGGAACATTGCTGGCTTTGTCAATCCAGTAAAGAGATGGCAGTCTGTCATTAAGACACATTTTTATTTTAATGTTCCCCACAGCTTCATTCAGACACTGATGGAGAGCTACAGTACGTATGCAGGATTTGTCACTGAGATTAGGCAACATACTAAGTGATGTGTAATGCATGATAACTGCAATAACAAACTAATTCTAAAGTAATAGCAGCTTATCAAACCGTCTAAATAACTGACAGGATAGTTTATTTTAGAGAAAACACCAAAACTGAAAGCTCAGGACTCAACCTGAGGACAGCAGCGATGCAATGAATGATTTAACTGTAGCTTGTGTGTGTGTGACAGCTCACCTGTCTAAGGTGAAGAAAAGTGAAAAGTGTGACTTGCAGTTACATCATGATCGATCCTTTCTCTATGTCTAGGATCATTTAGGATTATTACTAATTAATTTGGTTTCTGCTGATGAGCGTTAATGTGCACAACGCTCTCACTTTGGAGACGCTTGTGGATCCTGCTGCTGTTTGATGCTGC